AGTTCTCCTGCCTCAGCCTCCCAGAGTGGTAGGATTACGGGCATGAGCCACTGTGCCTGGCCTGACAATGTATTCTTTCACAATTTCCACCTTCCTCAATGGCTTCCTTTTTTCCTCAGGTATATTAGCTACTTCATAAGTTGCATCAGTGGTATTATTTCCAGGTCTTATTGATGCTTGAAGGAATTGCCTTTGCTTTTCATCTTTTATTTTCTGCAATACAACATTCTGTGCTTTTCCCTCTAATTTAAAATACTTGGGGTCCTTGTGAGTGGTAGGATGCTGAGCAGTGAATTTCTTTAATGTTGATACTGCAGTATCACAAAACAAGCAAATCATCTTATCTGTAGCAAAAACAAGATAATACTGCAACCCCCAATCCTTGTTAAAAAATCTGTTCTCTTCCTTCAGCATTCTCTTTGACATGATGGGCTGTTAAGCAGGCAGAATTTTTAAAAAATGATGTGGAGCTATGCAACTATTCGCAGATTTCACTTCAAACAGAAACAGTGCGTCATCGTCAAAAGCTGGTAACGGACTGGCATACTCAACTCCCATAAACTCTCCCCAACCAGCCTCCTGCAGTAGTGGCACCGTCAGGCAGGGAAGTTAGAACGAAATCATGAGTGCAGCAGCTGTCAGTTTAGCCCTTTGGGCTTACTAATGTTCTAATTGTGCTGGTCAATGGAGGATTATTTTATGGAAACTTATTTGCTTTGGTATTTAAAATTCATTCATTTAAAAAATAAAAATGTAAAAGATGAACAAAAATGTAATAAAAATAAAACGATCGGTTCTGTAAAATTTGTTCCGACAAAAGGCCACAGGTAAGGATCTGGAAGGCCATGGTTTCCCAGCCCCTGGCTTAGTGAGCGATGAGGTTGGAGGAGCGGAAGAAGCCAAATCACAGAGGATCTTACCAGCTATTTTAAAGAGTTTGGGCAAACCCAAGAAGCTTGGGTTTAATGCCAGGGAAGCAAAGGTGGTGGTGACATGACTTAATCGCAGTTTAGAAAGATCACTTTAGCTACAGTGTTATAGGTCGGATTAGAAAATGGAAAGACTAGAAGCATGAAATTGGAATAAGTAGTTGTTGAAATAAGCTAAGATGGTGTTAATCCAAGATGATGATGGCCTGTACTTAGGGTCTGGCAATGGTGATAGAAAAGTAGGTGGATTCGAGATAGAATACCATAATTTAAGGGGTAGGCAAAGGAGACTAAGATATGGCCAGAGAGGGAGGTGAAAAGCCAGGAGTATTTTGGCTTTTACGGAAGCCAAAATAAGAGTATTCCCATAAGGAGTGGTCAGTAGTGTTAAAGACGTCTCTGGGTCAAAGAAGATAAGGACTGAAAAGTATTTACAAGATTTATAAGCAAGGAGGTCCCAGATAACTTTGGTAATAGCATGGGAGTGAGTGGCAGGGCAGAAAGAAGTATTAGGATGCAGGTAGGCTGAAATTCTATGGAAGCCCAGAGGTGAGCTACCCAACCCTGTCTGAGAGAACAGGGAAGGCTTCCTGGTGGAGGAATTACCCAAGTGGAGTACTCAAGATTGAGCAGGAGTTAGCCAGATAGAGGCAGAAAAGGAAAATTTAGGCAAAGCATGCTACATGTATAATTGCTCTTTGGGAGCGCTAAAAATAACTATAACTTTAGGCAGTGATGTCACCCATTTCCTCCTCTATAAACTGGGAGGAGGAAATGGGTGGAAATAATATAATTATTATTGGATAATATTGACAGCACTTAGGATCGTTGACAAAGCTTGAGATAACTTATGTAGAAGACCTGTCATCCGTTAGGGTCTCAGTGACAGTTCACTCTCCCCGTCTTTAAAGCATCACAATGAAACACTACTTAATGATTTTAAAATATGAATTTAATCTCTCTCTAGAAACAGTGCACTGATTTTACAAATGTCCACATTTGGTTTTCAGTTCACCAAGACGGTGTCAGTACAGCTAGTAAGATGCAGCCCAGAAGTCCCTTTGCCTCTGGAAAAGAAACCAGACTGCAATGGCACCGGGTACAGAAGCTGATGAGACTCAGAATGACACAACAAAAGGAGCAGATCAGTTAGTGAGACACGACATTCTAACATGCCAGACTGTTACATCAAATACGGTCATTTGGGGGTGGCTGAGGACGAACACAGAAAATGCATTTGGGTACAATGTAATGGAGTTTGCAAACCAGTACTTTGCCCCCAAATTCATAACAGCTTGTACAGAACAAAATGCTATTTTAAAAAGGACATGGTTTGTACAATTATTTGTTTTCTCTTGTTTTTATAAAAAAGTATCAAAACCTTGTCTTTAAATATATATTTATAGGTGGCTTTTTAAAAATTACTTTTTATAGCACAAAGTGCTTGTAAATGCAGAGGATTTCTGCTGATTCTTGACTGTGCACACAGTGCACAGTCTGAATGAACAGAGCTTCCTGATTTTTTATATTAACTAAAAATTTGAAGCTGTAATTCCTCCATTTTCTAAATTCTATCTTGACAACCCCTAATACCCTAAAAATACAGTGAGAAGACTCTGATACTCTATCTTCATGCATTTATGAGAAAGGAAGTGATTCACTCTGAAACTTTTAATTAAGTTAACTCATTTATATTCTGTGAAATGATGAGTGTGTGGCTGGAGTTTGGGGGTGGGGTAGAGAGGCTTGCCTTGCTGTGCCCTCTCCGTTCCCATCAGCGCCTGCCTGGACCAGGATTGGGACCCCCTCTCCAGACTCCATATCTTCAGAATTTCGTTTTCTTTCTCACAGTTGAGAAAAATCTAAGAGGCTCTTGACAGCATGGTGTGTTCAGGTGAAAATCTACTGCCTGTACGTGAGTTTTCAATGACCATATCAAACATCTTTGACACAGTCAGCACTTCCCTGTGGCCACTGGAACGCTAAGACTGAATGTCGTGTCTGCAGAGTGCCAGCACACACCCTGATCAGTTTTCCATGATGTACCTAGTGCCTCATATACAATAAGAGGACCAAGAAATGCTTGCTTACTTAAGTCAGAAATTAAAGTGCTTACACTGAACCTGTGTTTCCATCTAGCCTCATTTCTTGCTGTACCCCCATCAAGCCTTTTGTTCCTTGTTACAATGAACTATGTGCAGTTCCTTAAAGCCCCTGGGCTCTTCATGCTTCCTTGTCTTAGCTCAGTGTTTCCTCTGCCTGAAGCAGTAGGACTCCCTTCTTAATTTTTAAGACTTAAGCTTAAGGTCATTTCTCCTATGATGACCCTATCCTCATCTCTTCAAATAGAATGTCCCCCTCTTTTCCGTTGTACCCTAACCATAGTCTGAGTAGAATCGATTCTTTTTTATTTCTACTTGTATGCACAAATCTTCCTCTACTGCTACTGTGAGCTCTGTAAAGACAGAAAACATGATTGACCTCTGTATCTGCAGTACAGGTAGAACCTAGTGAATGGTTTTAGTGAATGAATATACCACAATCATATAGAGAGAACTGGAAGGATCAGCAGTATTTATGGCCATAAATTTAAATCGGATCTCATTCTCTTTTTGCCAGTTGAGGTTATAAACTACTTCAACCTATTTTATAAATAATCATGCTCCCAAGAGCAATAAAGTTTTCGTTTCCCCCGTTTCCGGAAGGCTATTTCAGCCAGTGCCATTATAATTTCACTGGAAAGATAGGCCACAGGATAGGTAGCATGTTTGACACCATGCCCAGGCAGCCCAAAGTAATCTGGAGAATGGAAGGACTGGGACGGGCTTCTTTGAAGTAAAGAAAATACTGTCTGATACATGTTCTGCCCCCTTGGCATTATCCTTGAGCTTTCTCCCAGCTCTGTGGTCCAATGTCTCTATGGTTTGTTACTGGCCCCAGATACATATGTGCAGGGGGCAAAAGGCAATGGAAATATAACTACTCTTAAAAACGAGGCTTAAAAGCCTCTAAGAATCGGAAGAAAGTGGACCTGACTCCTGATTTCATTTTACTTGCTGCCAAGAAGCACATGAGTATCTCACTGTTTGCTTCTCAGAGGTTGCTCTCCTAGCTCCCTCTTTCCAACTGCGGTTGTAGTATGTTCATGACACATGGATTTCGCTAAGAAAGCTGTGGGTTTCATCATCATTTTAAGGTCTCAGGTTGGATGTCCAGACCCTGTTCATGATTTTGTTTGGTGAAGGCCAGGATCTGACGGAAGGTTTAGAAACTATGCATTAGCCGCTGTTACCAATTAATTCCCTGGAAAATTCAATTTCTTTGGAGAAAGTTTACAGAAAAAGTCACTTATTTTATATCAATTTCCACATTTCCCATTGTCAACATTTTTCTTCAGTCAAAAATAATTTTACTTTCCATTCTTGAAAGCATAGTATTAAGTGATTAAGCTCCATAGGAGTTGGCTGCCTGCTCTTAAAATTCTGTTTGGTGTTGGTCATTCTAGGTCAAGGGCATTTGGCCTCACAGTGAATGTGTCAGGACTGTCAACACATGCACATCATGAGAAAATTGTTCGCTCATGGAAAACATAGTGCCCAAGCTCTGAACACAGTTGTTTTCTTAGAGGTTCGCAGACCTTGGTGTAGAGGAAGGTCCTGGGAACAGGATGATAGAACTCCATATTTTCTGCCTGGAAATTCAAAGGGTATCAAGCTGATGAGACGTCCAAGCTTCGCTGAGTTGGGGCGTCTATAGGATGGGGGTTAGGAGGCATTTGCTTAAGTGTGTCAAGTTCCAGGTATGTTCAATCTAGATACACGTCCTCTGCTCCCACTTAAGCCAAACACTCCATGTTGTACCTTGTCCTTGGTTGTGTAGTGGGAGTGAAATAGCAGAGCAGCAGAGTTAAGAAAATACTACCCTTTGGATGAGAAAGTCCTTGGGGATTAAATTCCTTCTGGGACTGTAGGATTATGTTTCCACAAATAGAAAATAGCACTTCTCCCCATCTCCCCAAAGCCCAGGAAAAGCAAAGAAGGTGTCCATAATAAAAAAAAAAATCTATACATATACCCAGAGTTTTTCCTTTTATTTACAAAGCAGTTAACCAAGTTCCTGTGCGAACATATATATTCAATTATACTATAATATTGTGTATGCCATTTCCCCCGCAAATAGGACTTCAGGTTTGGCCTGGTTTTTTGACTTAAGCCAAAAATTAGTTTCATCTACATGAATGTATGATGATAAGAAACCTATTTATTACTTTAAAATGTTTTCCCTACCTAAAGGAAATGGCAGAGAGTAAGGGGAAGGGAGAAATAAGAGATATAATAAAATCTCCACCATCCTTCTCCTCATCCACAGCATGTCTCAGAATAAACTTGGGCCGTTCTGGAAACATCTCCACTTGGCTCTATAAATAAGGATAGCACCCTTCTGGGTGTTTCAGAGGAAACTACCTTAAGTTAGTTTAAGCTGGGTTAAGTTTCAACCCAAGTGTCCTGAAAGAAATTGAAGAAGGTACTTGAACGGCGGAACATTAAGACAAAGAGGAGCTGAGGTTTAGGCCTGTTCTGTCTTGAGCTCACAAGAGCTCTGGCGCTGTGTAATGTCTCTACACTGACCTCAGCCAGGACAAGAGGCCCAGGTGGAAGTCACAGCAGCTGTGGCTCTTCCTGACTTACTGGGGTCTCAGGAACAGCCAGAGGTGAAAAGATCTGCCTTTCCCACTACATGTTTGCACAAACCATGGTATGTTTTCTAAGTCTAACTTCCTAAGTCTTCTTGGAAAACTATGGATACTCCTCTTGTGGACTGCTTTAAAATAAATTTATCTTTATGTATTTGAACAACAGCCAGAGGTGTGCCTCTTCTCTATGGATCTCTCTCTATCACACACACACGTACACATAGAAACACGCTCGTGTACACACACGGAGTCTGCATGGTGGGCCAATCATACCAAAAATAAATACTCTCGCTTCTCTAAATTATTTATAGAACTAATCTTATTTCTGAAGTATGTTAATAAATAATCTAAATGGGGGAGGGAGTTGAAGTGGTTTTTCTTTTTTTACTTATGTTGATGGATAGCCACAAAGCATAATCATCTTATTTACAAAAAACAAAACCCCCAAACCTAAAAAACACCCCCCCAAAATCAACATCCTCTGTAGATATAATTTCTAAATGAGTAAGGTACTGTACCATCGGCCCCCATTTGGTTATGTACATCGTGTTAGTCACTCTGCCGTAGCCATTCCATGAATTCCTCATGGGTAGTGCAACCAGTTAAAAAGTGTATAAAACTTTATACATATAAAAACTCTCACATCCTTTGGATGTTTGCAGTTCATCATAACTTTGTGGTTACCTCTCCGCAACATAAATTAAAAAAAAAAAATTACACGCAAACACACTCACACAGACCCTTATGTAGAAACCCATTCATCCAGTCATACACCATCCAGAGAGTGTAGTGCGTGGACTGAATTCCAGGAGGCACGAAGGGGATGGTCCCATCTTCAGGGTAGTCCATCATCTTCAAGGCTTAATGCCACTCGCTGGGGAGACAGACCAAAGAAATCATCATCAGATCCATAGGAGCTACCATTTATTGAGTATCGATCGACAAAGTATCAGACATGCTATTACTTTATAGGTCCTATTGCACATAATCTTCCAACTATCCCAAGAGACAAGATTTATCATATTTATTTTACAGATGAGAAAACTGAAACTCAAGGAACTTAAGTAACATTTGTTTCGGATCACATAGCAAGTGGCTGAACTAAAATACGATCCCAGGTCTGTGTGAATACAGAACTGTAGTTTTTTCATCAGCGATCTAAACGTCACTGATCCTCTGTTAGAGGATTTTAGGTTTGGTCAACTTCAGTGAGTCAACGCTGGCAAACATCCAATCCCAGCCTACCAGCTACTGGTCTTTAGCATGCTAATCACAATTAGGTATGTGCTGCACCTTCCCAACTGATTAAACAGAACCGGAAGGCATGGAAGGTCAACTACATTCACTCCTCTCCTTCACCCCTACTTCCCAGTCATTCGTTACATGTAAGACTCCTCTCTGCCACAAATGGCTGATCACTAACCTTTGAGCTAGTCTATTCCCTTGAGAACAGTGGATTTAAATTCTTTCTTACATTAATGTGAAGTCTGTTTCTTTCTATCTTCTGATGTTCCCTGATTCCATCTCTGAGACTCAAAGAGAGTTCTGCCTAGGACAACCCTTGACAGTTACAGATGCTGTTTGAATTTTCTTCCCTTCATTCTGTTTTCTTCTCCAGGATACACGTCTAACTTTCCCTAACTGGTCCTGATGGAATCTCGTTTGCCATTCTCCCATGTCCTGGATACTCTCCTCTGGACAGACCCTAGTTTCAGTACCTTTCTCACAGCGATGTGAATTTGGGGTAGCCACTTCATTTCTCTGAGCCTTAGTTTTATCATCTGTCAAATAACAGGACCTACCTCGTAGGGCTGTTGGGGAACCACATGAGATAAATAAAGCCCATGGAGTGTTTAATATAGTACCTAACACCACATAGGGCCCACAAGACTATACATCAACCCAACCAGCATAAGATAGAACCAGAGTTGGTACCTTCCATCTCTGGACGTTCTACATTGGGTGAAAAGTAATTCCACTGCCTTTCAAGTCATCTTTGGGTTATCTGTGGGTTTTTTTATGAACGCCATGGTCATGGTCCACAAGCATAGCTATTTGAAACTACATTATTTTAGTCCCGCCACCCTCCCATTCTCTCCAAGACAGATCTCTAGGCCAAAGATAGGCGTCAGCAGCGATGGTAGAGCTACCTGAGAAAGGGACCGAGGAGAGGACAGGTTGTTGAGAATACTGATTTCCAGAGCTGCAAGGCTACTTACCCCATGATATAATGGAAGGAGCATGGCTTTTGTGTACATACAGACTGGAGTTTCAATTCTAGTTCTGCCACTTCCTGGCTATGACCTTAGGCAAGTTATTCAATTTCTATGAATCTCAGTTTCTTCATCTGCAAAATGGGGCTAATAATATCACCTCAGTAAGGTTACTACGAAGATTAAATGGGAAAATGTATGGAGAACACTGAGAAACGTGTCTGAGACGTAACAGGGGTCTAAATCCTCACTAAATGTTGATTTCCTTTATTACACGATTTCTCTGCAACTGGCAAGAGCTCATTACTTGCTTTAGACTCAATAGGAGGAACTGCCCCTGAGTTATTTTCCCTCTCTGGAAATAATGCCTCTTTACACGTGCGGAGTGCTTTGTAATTCACAAAGTGCTCTCATGTGTGCTATCCCACTTGGACATCATTAACTCAGAAGGCAGACAGCACGGGGGTTATTATCCTCATCTGACAAATAAAAGTGAGCAGAGAGAAGTGACTAAGATCCCAGAGCTGAGGAATGGCGGAACCGGAAGTCATCTTCTTATTCCAAGTTCAATGCTTCTTCCATTGCAGCCCCTCTGATCTTAAAAAATCCATTAAGCAACTATTTCCTTGAACTGGCCGAGGTTAAGGATCCTCGAGGCCTCTGCTAACCCTCCTCACTTGTTCAACTTCTTTTCCCTTGGCTCCCCTTCAAGAACGATTTGCTTCAGTAGCAATTGTGTCTGCCCTGCCCCACACTCAGTCACTTTCTTTCACATGCCATCTCCTTGGTCTGTGACTAACCCACGTTTCCTCTTTGCCCCGACACCCAGCTTACAATCTGCAGCCTTCCAAAACCAGAAAGCCTTCTAGGGTTGGCTGCACCTGCCTGGGTTCATGCCGTCACTCACCAGCCCCTCAGACTTAGCATGGCACTGCCCTACCTTGCACTTGACGACAGGCAGCTCGGAAAGAGGGTTCTTCGGGAGTTGGTGCAGCTGTGACCTTGGTTCCCCCGGCAAGACAAAAAGCTCCTTGAGGGCAGGGGCTGGGTCTTCCAGTTCTCTGGTCTCCCCAAGACAGGGCTCTGCCCACAGTGGGCGATCAAAGCTGCTGATTGCCTGACAGGGGGATGGACTGGATGACCTCTGAGGTCACACTCAGCCCCCTGACTCTGCTATACATCAATGACACCTGCTATAGCCACTTCGTGGTCCTTGCTCCCCCAACAAACCATGGTCTGCTGTGCCTGTAAGGCTTTGTACATGCATCTGTCTAGAATGCATTTCCTTCCTTCTCTACCTAAAAAACTGCTATTAATCCTTTCAAGGACACAGTTCATATGTCACCCTCTCTGTGAGGTATTCCTTGCCTGGTTTCTCAGACAGAATTAATAGCTCCCGAGTCGATGTTTCCATAGTAGTTGTTCAACAAATGTTTGTTGGATGCGAGCTATGCTGGGCTAGGCACCAGGAAAACAGATTTAATCAGACAATTCTTCCCTGAAGGATTTCACAGTCTACTGGGGAGACCACTAAGTAAAAGAGAAGCTGTTGTTGTGTGACAGGTGCCGAGGGGACTGTGGGACAACAAAGTAAGCAAGGGAGAGCTTCCTAGAAGAGGGGACTCCTGAGCTTCCACCACGCCACACAGCACAGAGTTGTTCAACTGTATGTTAGTATCTCTAACTCCCCACCAGCTCCCCGGGAGCCAAGTACATTCCTTATTTACTTTTGAACACTTGGTATCCAATGTGGAGCTTGGCACACAAGTGGAATACAGCTTTGAAACGAATACATTTGAATTAAATGGTCACAGTCATCCTTCCTGGCCAAATGTTCTTAAAACTAACTCAGCAAAAAGAAAGATATCTGGCTTCTTAACTACCAAGAAGAGCCTCTAGGTGTAGGGTGGTCCTGATACCCTTTCACCCCAACCACCTGCCCCAGCATCTCCGTGTTCCCCAGGGGTGAGTACCTGGTGCATGGTAGGTTCTTGGTAAATGTTTGAGAAAGGAAATATGGATGGATGGAAGGAAGGAAGGAAGGAAGAAAGAAGGAAGAAAGGAAGGAAAGCAGGGAGGGAAGGATGATGGGAGGGAGAAGGATAGAATGGCAGGAATTCTCCCAGCAAGAAAAACTTACTGCAGGGTAGACATGGCCAATCTGAGCCGTCCTCCCTATATGGAGCTCGTCTTCATCTTCTTCTTCTGTTGTTTTCCTGTATACCGGGTTGTCAAAATTCATGCTCTTGGTGTTCTTCCGCTTCCAGTTTCTCCAGATCAGGTAGCCAGTCATGCACAGCAGGGCTATTACCGCTGGAGGAAGGGACACATGACGCAGGACTTGCAGCGGCCCTAGCCATTGCCCAGACCTGGTGCACATCCCGCCACCTCTCCAACTTACTGCCCCTCACACCTCAGGTTCTGTTTCTGCCTGTTCTTTTCCTGCTCCTTGGAAGTCCTTCTCTCATCCCTTCCTGCTATTGTTTAAGATCCAGCTGAGACGTGAAGTCTTTCCCCAAATGCTCTGGGCACAGCATCTAACTTTATGTATCTGTATCCACCACTGGCCTGAGCCCTTTGGGGGCAGGGATTGTGTCTCTTTTATCCCTTATGGTCAGTGCCCAGCACAGCAGGTGCTCAGTAAGGTCCTGAATGAATTGATGAGGGTTTTTGTTTTTTGTTTTTTGTTTTTACCATATCTTTACTCTAAAGCTACTGTTTTCTTGGATATCTCTAAACCTTAATGTTCTCAAAACTAGGGAGTGGAGAGTGGGATGGGGTGGGGTGGAGAGTGAGATGGGGGTGGGTGGGATGTTTCTTTCCAAAGGGAGGACTCCGCCAGAAGGGGAGCATCTCTACAAGGGAACACAACAGGGCAACACGGGCTCTGAGTTAGAACAAATGAATGAGTAAAAAAATGAAGAGTCTCTCTCCAAAGGAGCTCTGCAAAAATGGGGCAAGCAGCTTTGTAAGGTAGTAAGTGACCACTCTGAGCCTTCAAGTGGAGGCTGGAGAACCCCTTGTCTAGGATGCTATAGAGAGCATTTCTGTTTTAGTAAGATTATAGTCATAATAACCATTAAAAGGAGGAACGAGGCAAGAATACCTGTTATCACTGCTACTATTTACTGTCTTGGAGATCACCGCAATACAGTTAAGGCCCGAAACACATTTAAGGGTATAAATACAGGAAAGGAAGAAACCAAACTGCTATTATTTACAACTATTTTTCTGTTTAGAAAATCTTACACAAGCAAGTGGAAAACTATTGGAAATAATTTTAGTCAGTCAAGAATCAACAACATAAAAGATGATCTGCTTTCTTTTTCATTAGCAAGACCTAATTAGAAAACAAAATGGAACGAGAACACATTCAAGATAGTCTGGCCAGGCATGGTGGCTCACACCTGTAATCCTACCACTCTGGGAGGCCAAGGCAGGTGGATTGCTTGAGCGCACGAGTTCCAGACCACCCTGAACAAAAGTGAGATCTTGTCCCAAAAAAAACTAGCCGGCATTGTCGGGGCCTAGGGCGGGGCCTGTAGCTGTAGCTACTTGGGAGGCTGAGGCAAGAGAATTACTGAGCCCAGGAGTTTGAGGTTGCTGTGAGCTATGATGTGACAAGATAAAATTCTGTCTCCACCCCCCCAAAAAAACAACAAAAAAACTCTACCTCACATGATACTCGAAAATAAATTCCAAATGGATTAATACCTAAATACTAAATAAAGTTTAAAGTAGCAGGAGAAAATATTGGGAGATATTTTAATAGTTTAGCATGAGACAAGCCTTCCTAAGTCAGACACAAAACCTGGAAATCATTAAAACAAAAGATTGACAGATCTGAACTTAAAAATTAAATTTATATAAGCCCAAGAGCTGGAGGTTGCTGTGCGCTGTGACACCACAGTACTCTATCCAGGGCAACAAAATAAGACTGTCTCTAAAAAAAAAAAAAAATTAAATTTATGCATGGCAAAAGATACCATGAACAAATTTTAAAATCAAGTGTCAGACTGGGAGAAAATATTTGTAACCTATATTGTAGAGGTTTAATATTCATTATGTATAAATATTTCTACAAGTAAGAATAAGGTAGCCAGCAGAAAAATCAGAAAAGACTGTGAACAGACAATTCGTGAAGGATAAAATGTAAATAAATAGCCAACAATCTTATGAAAACCTATTCTGTCTCAAAGAGAAATATCAGGGAAACATTATTCATCTTTCACCTCTCAGATGAGCAGAAATTTCAAACATTGATTATATCAGAGTGAGCTATTTCAGCAAAACAGCACACACGCGTCTCTTTCCACAGAGCATAGGATGGTGAGAAAGGGGGAGATTTGTCTTTCTCCCACTCCACTCAAAATAAACCTGAAATGATAGTCTCACTATCACCTTTGGTGGTGAAAACTTTCAAGGCCAATTCAAATGCCACTTCTCCAGAAGCACCGCAAGTTCCCTGTAATTAATTACCTTTCCTTCACTTTCTCCCCAGGAATCCTGGGCCTTAGCCTGCATCTAGATCTAATACGTCTCTATTATAGCATATTATAATATATATTAACATCTACCTTGGATGGCTTCTTTATGCTTAGTCTGATTAAAGACTGAAAGCTCTTGAAATCTTTATCTTATTTTCCCTGCATTGTTGCCACTCGGCATAGCATCTTGAATTAAGGGAAGACAGGGAAGAAGTTTTCCCTATGGGCACAAAGAGCCCAATGATATTCACACTAATTCATCACCATGTTGAGGATTCCCAGAGTTTCTGTCCTTGCGTACTGACGACCAAGCAAGGGAGATAAGCTTACGAATGAACAATTCAAAGATACCGCCAAGGGATGACCCTGGCAGGAGAGACGGGATGTATAGGAGACTATGTGAACATCAGAGTGAGAGAGGAGGAGCCAGCCCCCATGGTTCTCTGCGAGGTCTTGATCAAATGTTAGACTCCGGCCGTATGGAACTCCTTCTGGATCTAAACCCGCCCGGCCCCACCCCACCGTGCCATTCCCCGTTCCTGGCTTTGTTCGTGCCATCTTCACTACTTAGATTGGTCTTGACCCTTCTCTTGGCTGACTCAGCTCCAATGCCATTTCTGCTAGGAAACCCCCCTGCCCAAGTCCCCTCTCCCCAAAGTTAGGTGCCTCCTCAGCACTTTCATTCAACTCAATGATACAGCTTAATCTTAGGATTTATCATGTCACAATAAACATCTCTGTGTTACTGTCTTTCCAACAAGCCTATAAACCAGCGGTTTTCAACCTGTGGGTCGAGACCCCTTTGGGGGTTGAACGACCCTTTCACAGAGGTCGTCTAAATACATCCTGCATATCAGATATTTACATTACGATTCATAACAGTAGCAAAATTACAGTTATGAAGTAGCCACGAAAATAATTTTATGGTTGGGGGTCACCACAACGTGAGGAACTGTATTAAAGGGTCGCGGCATTAGGAAGGTTGAGAACCACTGCTATGAACTTTTGTGGGACAGGACCTTGTCTTGCTCATCTTGAAACACCTTCTCTCCCTTATCATAGAGCTTGGCACATAGTAGCTGCTTGATAAATGTTTGTCGAAAACCAAACACAAAGAAAGCAGGACAGCATGACCTATTAAAGGGACAGCAAGCAGTTCTACTAATTAATTCCATAAAAATGTAATTTCCTTCCTAGGAGGTGGGGACAGTGGTAAGACAGACATCAGCCCTTTCCCCAGGGAACATACCGTAGCACTTTCACATGGCTGGAGTGTAGAGTATGAATGAGTATGAATGAGGGGGGATGGCAGTTGTGCCTGGATGGTCACCTGGGGCCAGATCCTGAAAGCCCTGTGTGCCAGGCTAAGAAAGCATATAAGGACTGGGGGGTGGGCAGGCAGGCTGCTTGGGCAGAAGTCAGGGGTCAGGTCTCTATGCCAGGTTTTCTATCTTTTGTGCTTTCCTCCAGGCCTGGCCAGGGTCTCTCTTCTCTCCCCAGTAACTTGGGGCCACACTCACCTATGGGTACGATGATCCCAATGACAGCAGCAGTGACTGTGGAGCCCATCTTACCACCTTCGTTCCCATCTGCAAAACACAAACGTTTGCAGAATGATGCTTCATTGCTGTGAGTCCAAGGCCTTGTCAGCTACAAGCAGTAAGAACTACCCAAGTGCTTCTCAGCCTTATTCTAAAATGATGAGCCTGTCGAGTGCTTAATACCTCAGTCTTTCCGGGTGGCGCCTGTGGCTCAAAAGGGTAGGACCCCGCCGGAGGTGGTGGGTTCAAACCCAGCCCCAGCCAAAAAAAAAAAAAAACTTCAGTCTTTTCATATCCTATCAAAACTCCAGTGAGACAAATAGGACAGAGGTTATCTCCATTTCACAGATGGGGGAAACTGAGTCTTCCTGAAGGATTTGGGGACTCACAGATATGTGGCAGATCTGGGACTTGAACACAGGACTCACAAACCAAGTCCATACCCTTCCCATGGAGTCATGGTAGTAGGAAGCTGGGGGCTGCACATGGCAAGATCCATGAGCACTTAGGGTTTCTGCCGCTGACAGACTAGGTCATTCATCTTTTCCAGCCAGTACTTTGCCAATGTTGTTTTTGGTGCTGTCAACCTGCATATCAGTGTATTTTTCATAAGTAACTTAAGTGGGATGTAGTATAATACAGGGGAATCAAGAACACAGGCTTCCGCATCAGCCTTCCTGAATTCAAATTCCAGCTCTGCTGCTCACTCCACGTGTGACCTTGGGTGAGTTGTGTATTATAAACACATGTTGTATTATACTTCTTTATCAGTAAACTGGGGGTGATGATATTATCTACCTCCTAGTGATATGATGAGGATTAATTCATATAAAATGCTTGGCACAGTGCCTGACACAATGTTTACTAATTCGAAGAGGGTGGAGAGTAGGATAGGGGTTGTTGTGAGGCCTAATTAAAAATTCAATATGTAAAAGCATATTCTAAACTGAGAAGTGCTTGGAAAATACACCGTATATACCATGTTTCCCCAAAAATAAGACCTTCCCAAAAAATAAGCCCTAGCAGGATTTCTATGCATTTGTTAAATATAAGCCCTACCCCATAATAAGACCGAGTGGTGGGTGTGGCTATGCAGATAGCATATCTGCAAAGCCACGCCCAGTATTTCAGGGCAGAGTGGTAAGGAAGACTGGAATACTTTTTATCTGCCACAGCTCCTTTCTCAGAGCCGTTCGCACTTGCACAGGTGCACATGTGGTAACTATGGTCCCAGGCATCCTATTGTGCACATGTGAACAGCTGGGGAAAGGAGTTCACGCATCACTAGTGCCAGCCCCACCAACAAGGTCAGCTACCCCTGTCAGGTTCCAGAAGAAGATGACTTAACTGAATCTGAATAAATGTAGATTGTTGTATTATACTTAATAAAAATAAGACATCCCCTGAAAGTAAGCCCTAGTGTGTCCTCTTGAGAAAAAATAAATATAAGACAGTGTCTTATTTTCAGGGAAACACGGTATATACATATACGTATATACTAAAATTGTAATACTCAATACACACCAATAACAAAAGTTGAACACAAGTCACATTGAGCACCTCTTGTAAATGTAGAAGTCAAGTGTAACTTGAGTATTACAAACTTAGTACAATTTTTTTCTTTAAAATGTGATACATTTTTTGGCATACCCTACTGTGTGTGTATGTATTTTTTTTGAGACAGGATTTTGCTCTGTTGCCCAGGCAAGGGTGCAGTGGCATGATTATAGCTCACTGCAACCGCGAATTCCTGGGCTCAAGTGATCCTCCCACCTCAGCCTCCATAGCTAGGATTATAGGTGCACACCACCAAGCCCAGCTAATTTAATTTAATTTTTTTTTTTTTTTGTTAGAGATAGGGTCTCAGTATGTGGCCCAGGCTAGTCTTGAACTCTTGGCCTCAAGCACTCCTCCTGTATACGCCTTCCAAAGTGCTGAGATTACAGGAAGGAGCCACCATTCCCAACCTATCCTGTATTTTTTAAAGCATGTGCTGTGTTGTCTTTCTCACTCTTGCAGCCATCTTCATTATAGCATTTGTACAGCACTTTATAGTTTAGAAAGCCTTCTCCCTGGGGTCCTCCCAACAGCCCTCTGAGGTGGGAAGAGAAGCTGTCATCTACATTTGCTCTAAGTAAGGACATGACTGTACCCTGGCAATGGCCCCAATCTTGTTCTCTCAATGTGTCTGTTTCTCCTTGTGACTCCAAGGGGATCTAACTGTCAGGGGGAGAAAAGAGCTGCTCTCTGTACAGAGCTAACTGGAGATGCTGCTGGCCTCTCAGTCTGGGGCCACAGCAAACACTGGACAGCAATATTAAAACCTAGAGCATCATGAAGCCAGTGGGGAAAGGCTGAATGAGGCTCTGCCCTGAGATAAGCAGAACTGGAATTCACCTGGCTCTGCAGACTTGGGAGTAAGTGCTCCACTCTGAAAATCCAGTTTCCCTTGGCAAAACAGCCCAATCAGAAAGGTGCTGCCAAACTGCTTGGTTTCTAGGCCATCCACGTACAGGAGAAAATTTAAAAGATAGTTTATCCTTTTAAATAAACTCCCCCTGGCAGGTAACTCAATTAAAAAGGTATTTGCTAGTTAATGAGATAGAACATTTCTAGCAGTGACAATTACTGCTCCCAATGATTTACGTGGTGAACTTAATTATTTTCCTACCAGGGTTTGGAAAGAAACACAAGCAGATCACAGTTGTGGGGACTGCTATCTGGGGAGATTTCAAGGGCTGCCGGGAACTGAGACCGGAGCTTCCCAAACCTGAGAACACCTCCTCATGAACACCTAGTAACTCTTGAAACCACATACGCACATAGCCCAGAGTCGGCAGAGGCCGTGTGTGAGCACCCCCGGGAACTCTGCCTGCCTTGTCTCCCAGGGCAATCTTGAGAAGCAGATTGGGAAGGGTTATTATTATTTCCACTTTGTAGGAGGGGAAATGGAAGCTCAGAGATATGATGTGGCTTCCTCCGGGCCCTCCATAGGCAGGGGCAGCTGAGAGGTCTGAGTCGCAGGCTGGCACTGGACCTTGCCTGCTTCCTCCTCCGAGATACAGAGTACCTGGCTCTGGGATGGTCTTCATTTCCCACATATCCCCCCATGCTGGCTTCCCTAGGACCCCTCCCATGTCACGAAAGAATGCAGAATTCATTCCTTACAGTGCTGGGAGTGGTTGCTGGTTGCAGGGCTTGGGGTAGACAGGATGATGCTGGGAGCCCTGGGGACACTAACTGAGGTTGGGACCGCAGCTGCCAGGCTTGGTGTCTCTGTGCTGTGGTTCTGGTAGGTGGGGCTGTGGACGGTGGTCCCAGGGGCTCTTGTGGTGGCAGGTACTGTCCCCGGCGTGGTAGAGGCTAACGTCGTAGTTGAGGTAGACTGAGGTGCTGGAGGGGAAATACCATGGAGGTCACTTGGACAGAGAATCTCGTTGCTTTAGTGCCTAAGTTATTGCCTCTGAGTTATACTTAGGAACTCAGCCTCATGGCTTAGCTCAAATGCCACTGCTGGGAAGCCTTTCCTAATACCCCTATGGTATTTTCTTTGGCTGGATTCTAAGCCCTTCACTTTGATTCAATAAAGACAAGTCATTAAAACAATACTATAGAATTAGGTGTGGGCAAGACTACTGTAAAAGACTGGAAGGGAATTCATACTCATCTAATTTTACACTCATATTGTTATCCCATTAGGTTTAAATTCTTACTCCACTTTAAACCGTTGAACCAGGGTAAAACAGATGTAAGTTCAAATGAAAGGCCTTGGCTGTCCTCAAATTAGGAAATGAATGTATTTAATTATGTGGTTAAAGTAGTAACTATAAGGGTGAGACCGATCATATTGCAAAAGCGTGTCTGTGTAGTGTATTAAGTAAGGAATAGGCAAGTTATCTGCATATGAAGAGTAACTGAAGCCTAAGGGTTCTTAACCTGAGGTTTCCAAGGGGTTCAGAAATTCCTTGAAACTGAATTTAAAATGTTTTATGTATATGTGCATGTTTTTCTTGGGAGTGAGAAGAGAAATCCTCGGAAAGATCTGGGGTCGTGAGCATTTAAGAAGGGTGAAAAAGAGGAGCCTGCAAAGGTGGTAAGTAGCCAGAGAAGAGGAAGGAAAACCAGGAGCCTACTGGGGCCCGAAGCCAAGGGGGTAGGGTCTGGCACTGCCACAGACACCCCCTGCCTCTTCAGGAAGCTCTGCTTACCTCGGTAGCACCTCTTCATGTCTGGACCCAGCCACATTGTGTCAGGACAGGCACACGTGTATTTAGGAGAGTGGCTGGAGGTCTGAGGAGCAGGAAGGCACAGGTACTCACAGCCGCCGTTAGGCTGGGCACTCAGCTCACAGGCATCTGCAGCTAATGGCAGAGAGAGACAGGTGGGGCACAGACGGGACACGCCAGGTCTCCTGCCTCCTGAGGATGGCTCTCTCACTTGGCTTGCTCAAAAGGCTTTTCTTCTACTTTTCACTGAGCACCATCCATCCAGCGCTGTGCCTGGTGTTTTAGCCCTACGCTCTCACTGAATCCTGAGGTGGGTTTTAGGTCCTAGATTGACAGATGAAGACACCTGGGCTCACAGAGAATAAACTTGGCAAAATTAGATCTCCAGGAATTTTAGAGACAATTTAAACGGAGGACTCCTGCACCCACAGCCCGTGGGTTTTGCCCCCACTACCCCAGCTATGCCTCTCATTTAGACTTCTACCTCTAGAAACAGGACTGATCTTCTATCTCCTTACTCTCCTTTGCTTTCTCACCTTCACCCTGGCCGCTGACACCTCAGTTATAGTTGGAAGTAAACACAGTATACCCTAGAGGTAGAGGAGGGGACACCTTTGTGGTAGGATTCCTGGACTCTATTCCCAGCCTACAAGCTGCCTTATTATACGGCCCTAGCACACATTAGCTTATACCACATACGACTGCAAAATGATGAGACGCAATGTATCACACCAGAAGGAACTTTAGAACCAGACGGACCTGAGCTCAGGTATTAGTTCTGCTACCTGCTAACATTATTTTGCCTCTCTGAGCTTCCTCGTCTGTTAAAAGAGGCATATCCACACACTTTGCGGGATTGGCAAAAATCAGACATTTCTATGTTCATTTATACCTAGCCTTGTCTCACAAAGATCTTAAGGTAAAATGAGATGAAATCCATGGTGACAGAGCATCTGCTAACAAAAGGGACTGCTGCTGTCACCCCCGGGGATGCTGAGCTGTGACATGGAGGGAGAGGACACAGGCAGGGACCCGGGGCCCAGGACCAGAGATGGCTCACCTCTCGGCTGCTTCAGCTCATGGAAGATGACAATATCATGTGGGTTATTGAGATTCTCAGCCAGGATGGAGACTTCCAGGCCATTGAGCCGATTGGCACTGAAAATGGCCTCGTTCTCCAGGTCTGTCCAGAACACCTTGTCCTGTGGGGTACAGATGCAGAGGATGGGAGGCCTAGAAGCTAAACCCACGACTTCAACCTGCAGGCTCAGCCCCAACCCACAGCCATAAGAATTGCCCCCCAGATCTCCTCTGAACTATACTGCCCACAGTGGGACTCTCAGGCTCTGATCTGTGATGTACGCTTCCCTGGTTCTCCTCTGTCTTAGAGCATTATTCAGTGATTCTGTGTTTTGGTCTGAGGCCACAAAGCTACTCAGTAGTGCTTGGCTGAGCCTCCTTCCTGGAGCCCAGCAGAACCCTGAAGCTGGATCTTTATGGCCATTACCATCACTGGGGCCCAGGAGCCAGACTGGAGAGGATGTGGCGCTACAAGGGCTGTGATCCCCTGCTGGGCCCCCTACGGCTTCTGGGCATGCACGGGTATGAGTCCACATAAGCCTAGATGCCCCGCTGTAGCAAACCCACATTTACAGGAACGACGCTGCATCCTCATACGCAGATCCAGGACACACTTAAGTGTTCACCTGTACACACGAAGGCACACTTGTACCTCAATAAGCAGTCTCAGTGCACACTGGTGTGCACACTTACACTCATAAGCACCAGCACATGTAGGCATGCCCACTCTTACCCTGATGCATTTATATATACACATACTTTACACGCACACACCATACATTTGGGGGGGATGGACTTAGAGATGGAGCTTTGCCCACAATTTTGGAGCGGTGCTGGGTGATGTTGCTCCAAGCAGTTACTGCCAGTGCCCATCACAGACCATTGGCCCCTTGCTTTCCCTCCCCTTGGTGGCAGAGTTAATTTCGGGGAAGAGGTGACTGTGTGAGACCTTGGTTGGTTTTGGCTTCCTCATTCCGCGAAGAGAAAGGTCGTTAGGGTCAGAGGTCTTGATTCCTCTCCTTCCTGGGAACTCCTTGAGGACTGAAATACTGTCCGATTCACTTCTATAACCCCGGGGTCATAAGGTCAGCATAAGAGTGCTAGATTGAATGGTATCTCTCAGGCCATTTTCTGCAGTAAATGGAAATGTATACTCCTCCCCTTCCTCCCTGTACTGGGGACTTTCCGTGTATGTGGCACGGCCCTGGGTGCTGAGGGCAGAGAGAGGAAACATACCTGCCTAGCAACTCCCCTATGAGAAGTGCTCTGAGATGGGGGCCTGGGAGGACACCACGGGCAAGGCTCCCAGGCAGACGAGGGCCGCCAAGCCTTTGTGTGCAGGCAGCTCACACACTATTTGCAAAAGAGTCAGCTGGTTTCCTTGTTGCATTTGGACAAGTCTCAGGGAGTAGCTCTATTTGAACAAGGCTTTTCTTGGCTTCCACCTCCTCGTGGGGCCATCCCTCCCCTCTCGGGACTCACCTCAAACACAGCTATCCCAAAAGGGTGGCTCAGGAAGTCAGTGGAGGAAATCAGCACCTTCCTGTTGCCCCCACTGAAGTCGATGCTGGACAGCTGGTGGAGCTTGGAGTCTACCCAGTATAAGCGCTGGGTCAGCAAGTCTTGGGAGGGAAGAGGGGAGGATGGATCAGGCCATAAACCTAGGACCTGGGCCTGGAGCACTGCTCCTCTGTACCCCTTCCTGCCCACACTTACAGCCCTCACACGGAGGCAGCTTAGGGCAACCATCAGGGATCAATAGCACCATAAGGGGACCCAGAAATGAGACCCCTGGAGTCCTGGTTGGTGGTCAGGATCAGGTGCTAGAATAGCCTCGCAACCCAGGAAAAGAAGGGCTCACCCAGGGTGATTCCATTGGGCCATTCGATGTTGTCTGACACGAGTGTTTGCCGGTCCGCACCGTTGAGCCCAGACTTCTCAATCTTGGCCTGGTATCCCCAGTCAGACCAATACATGAACCTAAAAGACAAAAGAATCCCATTTCACTTATTGCTGGAGACATGATTAGGGTGGCCAAGTCACAGGGCTCAATGACCCACTGAGGAGTTGAGGATCATGCTTGGTGGGGACTGGGAAGACCTCTGAAATCCTTGGGCACCATAAAAGCTCAGAATTAGCAGGCACTTTTGCCCTCATCTCATCTGAGAACTAAAGAGAATCTCTGTCTCCTGAGAGTCCACTCAGCCTCAGCTGAACAGCCTGTGAGCCCGTCTCCCCTACTTAGGACGCTTAGAATTTCAGTGTGGGAAGGGCCCCCAGTCAACGCTTTCTTTCCTCTGTGTGTGTGTGTGTGTGTGTGTGTGTGTGTGTTGAGACAGAGTCTCATTTTGTTGCCCTTGGTAGAGTGCTGTAGCGTCATAGCTCACAGCATTCTCAAACTCTTAGATTCAAGCCTCCTGCCACAGCCTTCCGAGTAGCTGGGACTACAGGAGCCTGCCACAATGCCCTGCTAGTTTTTCTATTTTCAATAGAGATGGGGTCTTGCTCTTGCTCAAGCTGGTCTGGAACTCCTGAGCTCAGGCAATCCACCTGCCTCGGCCTCCATGAGTGCTGGATTTACAGGTGTGAGGCATCTCGCCCGGCCTCTTTCCTGGTTTACAGAAAAGAAAGTGATGATCCTCCTAACTTGGCCAGCCCTCCCTGCCCCGTCCCCTTAGACCTACCAGGGCTATAGCGGTCCCTGTTACTGAGTCAACACTGTACATCAGAGTTTGCCCACTTCTTTGTAAATAGTCTCTTTATTAAACCCTCCTCCAGTTACCTTGGTTTGAATATGAGGTGGGTCTCTAGCTGGGACCCTGACAGATCCACAGTACACTAGGGTTGGGCTGGGCATAACTATATGGTTTGGGGGGCAGAGTGCGCATGAGAGCAGACAGGGAATGGGACTGATGTGGGAGCTCAACTAGAAGGTTCCAGTCCTTCCACTGGACTGGGAACACCTGCCACACCCCAGTAAATGGCAGCTGCCAGGCGCTTCCCAAGCCCTCGCACACCCTCTCATAGGCCACTCCTCTTACCAGCAGCTTTGGTCTGGTGTGATGATCTTTGGAAGAAGAGAGTTTTCTTATCTTTATGTAACAGTTAAGGACACAGCAGCAGGAAGAAGCTGGTGACTGGTAAAGTTTACACGGACACAAATGCTAAAAACCTTAGGCTTTCTCAAGATATTCCCACTATTGAGAAGCGGGGTCCTGTTCTGCTCAGAATTCCTAAGCAGGGGATGAGAGGCCCCAAGACTGATGGGGGTGGGCAGGCAGGAGCAGGGCAGGCCCAGTGATCTCGGTCTGCAAATTTTGCTGGCTGTCCCTACAGGGCAGGGAGGCCAATGGAGGAAGTTACAGGAAGACAGATTTGGAATTATGAGAGGGGAAAAGCCACCTTCGAGTGCAGTGTTTTTCAACCTTCAACCTTTTTTTTTTTAACTCATGGCATACTTGAACCTAGAGTTAAACTTCTGTTGCACATTTAAATTATGTTGATCCAAAAAGAAGAGTTAACAAAAGGAATATACACACTGTGCTTTGAACTTCTTTGAAAAATAATTTAATTAACAACCTTTACAAATTTTCACAGCACACCTAAGGTTCTCTCATGGCATACCCATGTGCCATGGCACACCGGTTGAAAATCACTCTTCTAATGGGAAGAGCTGCCCCCTAATGAAACAGGCCCTCTGGAAAGTAATGAGCTCTCTGTCTCTGGAAGTATGTGAGCAGCTGCCAGCTGCCCCTGCAGCGTCCTGAGGATGGGTTTCCTCCCCAAGAAGTTTCTTTGGGCACTCTCTAGAGATCCACCTGCTTTTAGATGCTCTGACTCTCTGATAAAATCAGTGAGAGGGAGAGTCCAGATAGAACTCTGGTCACCAATGCCCCAAAACCCCTTGCTCAGGGATTAATAGGATGAGGGCACAGGCTTTCTTCCTCATGGCCGGAGCCTGAGCACCCTAGAACCTTCCAGAGCCCTGAAGATAGCTCATGTGACAGACAAGAGGACTGAGCACCTATGCTGAGAAAATGGGGAGGTCAAGGTGGGGTTACTCACCCTCGCAGGGGGTCAACAGCGATGGCCCGAGGTTCGCTGAGGTTATGGCTGAAGAGGGTGCATCGGCGGCCACCGTCCACTGTGGCCACTGAGATGGTCTTATTGCCTGAGTCCGTCCAGTAGATGTGCTTGTGGACCCAGTCCACTGCCAGGCCCTCGGGGGAGTGCAGCTGCTCGTCAATGAGGACTTCTTGCTCTGCTGGGTCACTGGCCTTGTCCATGTAGGCACTTAGGAGAAACCAGAGATGGCCGTGGATGGGCCCATGCGCCCATCTGGAATGTCTGTGCACCACCCTTCCCCTCTCTCTCTTCCTTCTGGCCCATGGCAGTGGATTTTAAAGGAACTTGGCTAATTTTCATTCAAAACATTCCCTGGGTCGCCAGGGTAGGGACACAGGCTTGAATAAGTCAGTCTCTACCCTGGAGGAGCTGTGGGGGACAGATACCTACAGTCAGATATAATACTGTAGGATTACAGGAAGCATTAGAGGCTATGGCGACAGAGACATGGAGATCACATCATCCTGCAGGGTGGGAGAAGGCTTTGTAGCTGAGCCCTGAAGGACAGAAAGCCCATTCAGGCAAAGGGAACAGCACATGCAAATGCCCTGGGGTAGTATGTTCTTGAATAGTGAGATGTCCAGTGGGGCAGAGCTGGGCATGTGAGATGTAAGACTAGAAATATGCACAAGGACTGCACCCCAACAGGCTCTGAGCGCCATGCTAAACAAATAGGGTTTTATCCTGGGGTAAGGGGTGGGAATGGGACTTGGCAGGTCAGAGGACCCAGCCAAATAGGCGTGTCTGATCACTGCAGCATCAGTGGAATGGATGGGCTGGAAGGAGAGGGAAGGGAAAGACCTGGTTAGGAGGTTATTACAACCTCCAGGGGAGAGATAAGGGCCTGGAGAAGGTTATGTTGGTGAGAATGGAGAGAAGGGACCAGTAACACAGTAGACACTCGGGAGGGGACATGGGCAGGACGTCACTTCCCACATGCTATTTTCCCAATGGTCTTCTACTCTTCATACTCTTTCAGAGTAATTAGTTCCACAGTGCCCACTACCATCCGTGACTCTCCAATCCTGACAACTCTCTTAACTTTCAGACTGCAAAGCCTACCACTCCCCTCCCTTGGATGTCCCATGGACACCTTGACCTCCTCATGTCCACAACTGCTCACCCCATTTCCCTCCCCTCAGCCAAACAGACAGACTGCACACGCTGACCCCAATCCTCCACCGGTGTGTTCCAGCTCAGAGGGCAGCACCACTGTCTGTGAAACCTCCCCAGCTAGAAACCTGAAACTCCTCAAATTAACCTGGGAGTGAACTTAGACTCCGCCTCCTTCAGCCCCATGTTTAGTCTGATTTTAATCAAATTTTGCCTCTTTCAGTCACACCTGCTAGACAGGCGCAGCTGTAGCTTTTCTGGGTGTGCAAGTGTGAACTGAGCGTGTCGTCTGTGTTAGGGGAGGTAGGAATCTAGGAATCCGGTTGTCAGAGAGCAGCACCTGGTGGATTTGCTCACTGGCCCACCCATCCACCCATCACCTTCCAGCAGTGACTCAGTGTCTCCCATTTCCTAGTCATTGGCAGTCTTGCCAAGTGAATCTCAGGACAAAGAAAAGACGTGACTACCCAAAGGGAGTCCGGACATGCGGGGAGGCAGGCTGGAAGCACCTGAGAAAAACCTAAGAGAACACTCAAGTGTGTGAAGAGCTCCCCAAGCACAAAAGTCCCCTGGCTATGGTGTCACAGTGAGAGCGAAGTGCCCTCCAGGAAGATGTCCCAGACCCCCAGATTGGGTCAGTGCCCTCCCCTGTTCTTTCTGTCATAATCATCACAGTGGATTTCATTATGTTATGATTGGGATCCCCTCGCAGGGGCCATATCTGAGTCATCTCTGAGTCCCCAGATCCTAAACACAGATAAGTGAGCTGCCTTGAAAGTCCTCCCTAGAGATGGAGGTTTCTTTCTTCCTGTGCTGGCTGAATAGTTCCCGTGTCTTGCAGTTCCCCAGTGGGCCGCCAGAGGCCAGACAAAGTCCGGGTGTTTGGGACTCAAAGCTGCTCACCCAACAAAGCCCTCAGCCTAGGCTGGCCCAGTCCATATCCACTGTGATCCTGCACCGGTTCCCAAGACCCGACTCTGTCTAGAAACACCAGAGGCAGAGGACATCCTTCCTCTACTCATCTATCAGCCACTCGTCCCTCCCACTCCCATGTCTGGCTGCAGGGCACAGGCCACTCACCTGTAAATCTTACGGTAGGAGAGGTCACACCAGTAGATCCGATTGGTGGCAACTTCGACATCTAGTGCCACCACGTTCTTGAGCATGGGGATGAGGCGTGAGTAGTCCCGCTTCACCAGGTCTATCTTGCGCACCTCATGCCGGTTGGTGAAGATTAGGGACGGGCTCCTGCCAGCTGTCGAGAGGCCAAGAGAGAGAAAGAGTCAGAGCAGGGCAGCACCTGTGGCTTAGTGAGTAGGGTGCGGGCCCCATATACCGAGGGTGGCTGGTTTGAACCCAGCCCGGCCAAACTGCAACAGAAAAATGCTGGGCATTGTGGCAGGCACCTGTAGTCTCAGCTACTCAGGAGGCTGAGGCAAGAGAATCGCCTCAGCCCAGAAGTTGGAGGTTGCTGTGAGCTGTGATGCCACCACACTCTACCAAGGGTAATAAAGGGAGACTCTGTCTCAAAAAAAAAAAAATGTACAGGCACTGAGCTAAGTACTTTGTACACATTAGCTCCCCTGATTATAACCCTAAAGGGTAATTATAATTAACCCAAACTAAGAGAATTGCCTCAGCCCAGAAGTTGGAGGTTGCTGTGAGCTGTGATGACACAGCACTCTACCAGGGTGACAAAGTAAGACTCTATAAAAGAAAGAAACAAACAAAAACCAGAAAGGGTCAGTGCCAGAAGCAGGGAGTCTGGACACCAAGACTCTGCCACTGGTTTGCCAGGTGATACCTCATTTTCCTAAAAAATAGGGGTGATAATTCCTACTTCATAGGTCAGAGCAGATGAAATCATGAGTATAAAAGCCTAAGGTGCAGAATGCCATTCGTAACAGGATTTTATTCTTTTTATTGGACATAAACTCCCCCCCAATCTTTTGTGACTCCCCATTTCCTCCTTAGGCCTGCACTGAAGGCCTTCTGCAGTGCAGCCCCCAGCTCCGTCCTGCCTCATCACTCACCCCCAACATACCTTGATGCCAGCTGCCAGACTGATTGTCATCACCCAGCCTCAGGGCCGTGGCTTAAACTGCCCCTCCCACCTAACAAGCATTTCCTTCCAGCAACTACCACCTTCTCTGCTGGGGACCCCACTACCATAGTTCAAGGATTCACTGAGCAAATACCCATCTTAGAAAGACAGCCAGTGTGGCGGGCAGACAGCAGGGCTGAGACCGGAGGGAGGAACTCCTCAGGGAGGTTGCTAGGAATCTGCAGTTTATGCAGAGAGTTTGGGGACACAGCAGGAGGTGAAGCTGCAGAGACTGGCAGGGGCCAAGCATGAAGGTTCTGTGAGCTGAGCTAAGAGTTTGTTCTTCCCACCTGAGTCAACCACAGAGACGGGACATGTATGATATATGACACAGATTGGCCACGTAAACACAAAACCCAGTTTTAGACTCAGGATTACATCTTAAGAAGATCATCAGTGGTACAGATACTCCACATGGAAGCTTGCTGTCCCAGGGGCCTATGAAGGCCTCGTACCAGCTCCAGGCTGTTTTAGATGTATGGGGCCACTCTCTGGCAGCTCCGAGCAGCACTTGCCCACGAAGCTGCCTGTGCCTGCTCCCTCTCTGTTTTCCAGCAGACACCTCTACTGGCTACCTCGTCCCTGTCACAGTGCATCTGTGCCAGGCTAATATATCCTCTGGAGACAAGGGGAGGACCAGCACAAAGCCATGTAGGGCCTGGGGCCGGGTGTGGATCTGTATGTAATGATGGAGACTGTTTCAAAGCTGGGTGGGATGAGGGAGGGTCTGGTACAAATATCACAGCAAATAGGCTCAGAGTACAGGAAGGGGCAAAGAGGTGGGTTCTAGGACAAGCTCTGCCACTGACAAACTGCGTGACTTTTTCACCACAAAATGAGAGCAAAGACACTTCACTTCCTTAAAGGCAGGAGGTAGGTTTGAGGGGCATGTTAAAGTGATTTTAGTCTGAGACAGTGACCACGCGTGCCTATGGTCTGAGATTTTGTATAATTACAAGTTAGATCTTAGTGTGTGAGTTTGTGTATGCATGCAGAGTCATCTTCACTGCATGTATATAATCTGTGTCACATACCACATGTGTCCTATGAGGGGGTCAGAAGAGGGTACAGATTACATGTGCTATGCTAATCGATGTCTTGTATGTTGTACAGTTTGAGCGGTAGGCTTTGGGGTTTATGGGGTACGTGCCAAGCACTGTGGCTGCTGTGCTGTTATGGTCTGTATGTTGCATACAGTATTTGTTCCCATGAACTCCAGACTCAAATAGCCAAGCTGCCTACTCAATATCTCTGCTTGGACATCTAAACAGTTTTCTTAAGCTAAATACGTCCAAGCAGCCTCACCATCTTTCTCAGGTCCATAAATAGAAATTCTATTTTTTCAGTTGCTTGGCCAAAAGCCTTGAAGTCATCTCTGACACCTTTTTTTCCTCTCCTATCCCATGTCCAATTCAGAGGGAAACCCTGCTAGCTGGCCCTCACAGTTATCTGCAGTCTGCCCACTTCCCACTGTTCCCCGGTACACACCCTGGTCCACCCGCTTCTACAGTCACCTCTCCGTGGTTCCCCTGTTTCTATCCTTGCCCTCTACAGCAGTGATTTTCAACCAATGCGCTGTGACAAAAAATATTTATTTTATTTTATTTTTCTTTTTTTGGAGACAGAGTCTCACTTTGTCGCCCCTGGTAGAGTACTGTACTGTCATAGCTCACAGCAACCTCAGACTCTTGAGCTCAAGTGATTCTCTTGTGTCAGCCTCCTGAGTAGCTGGGATTACAGGTGCCTACAACAATGTCCAACTATTTTTTAGAGACTGGTCTCACTCTAGCTCAGGCTGGTCTCCAACTCATGAACTTAGGCAATCTGCCCGCCTTGGTCTCCCACAGTGCTGGGATTCCAGGCATGAGCCGCTGCATCCTGTCCCTCCATGAAAAAATTTAAAGATCATTAGTTAAATTATTTTCAAAAGAAGTTCAAGGCATAGTAAATATATTCTGGTTTTTACCTTTTTTTTGATAAACATAATTGTATGCCACAGAAGTTTAACCATAGGTTCAAGTGTGCCATGAAATAGAAAAGGTTGAAAAACATTGATCTACAGTCTGTTTGCAATACTGTCATCAGAGGGAGCCTGTTAAAATGTCACGCCATGTTCACACCCTATTCAAAACCCTCCGTGGCTTCCCCCAGTTTAGACTGAAATCCAAGATCAGCTCTGCCAATGGTCTAGAAGACCCTTTGGGATCTGGCCCGAGTCACCTCCCGGACTTCATCTCCTCATAGTCTTGCTCCAACTGCGCAGACTTCCATGCTGTTCCTTGAACATCCAGGAATGCATCAAGGCTTCTGCACTCAAATGCCACCTTCTCAGCAAGGACTTCCCTGGCTGTTCTATGACCCATAGCCCTCCAGGACTTCCCCAGTCCCATTCTCTACTTGATATCTCTCCTTAGGCCTTCTCACCATTTGCCATTCACTGTATTTTATTTATTTTTCTGATTTCTTGTCTGTCCCACCCATTAAAATAGAAGTCCCACGACGGCAGATGGGATTTGTGTGTTTTGCTTACTGCTGAGTCCCCAGTGCCTACAATGATCTTAGGTGTTCAATACAAACAATGGAATAAAATGGATTAATTTCATTTTGGGGACTGATTGATGTGCGGGCCTGCACAGGCGTGGGCTGCTGATGTTGTGTGCACAATTTGCATGCCCACGTTCTGTTGTGTGTGTGCAGCCTCTGTGGGTACTGAGTGGCCCTACACAGCGTGTGTGTGGGCGTCAGCGTGCTCTGCGTTGTTGGCACAGTGCACCATGTGTGCAGCCTACTTTCTATGTGCACACACATGTGCCCATCTACTCCTCACATGTGTGGAAAGCACTGCTTCCTGCACCCCCTTCACAGCTGTCCACTTCCCCTTAGGGTATCCATACCAACAGCCTTGCAGTTCTTGGTCAGTATGTCCATCTCATAGCCGGGGTGGCACTCGCACTTAAAGTAGCCCTTGTAATTGACACAGATCTGGCTGCAGGCATCTGGATCCTCACACTCGTCAATGTCTGTGGGGAGGAGCAAGGGTCAGAACTGGCAAGAGGATCAGCCCTCTGCTTGAGGGTGTAGGGGAAGGTCTCACCGCCACAGGTCTTCTCGTCCAGAAGCCGGAAGCCCGTTGGGCATGTGCACTCAAAGCCCATCTTGAGATCTGTGCAGATGTGGGAACAGCCGCCATTGTTGTGCAGACATTCGTTCAGCCCTGGGAAGGGACATAGGTTCCTGAGGGTCCAGGAGTCTGGCAAGGGAGGGGATGGGGCAGGGGCAGGGCCCAGAGCAGAAGCAGAGCCTCAGGGCAGCGGGACTTCCACAGAGCCAGGCGACCTCAGCCTCATGACCCAGGTGTCTGGGCAAGAGGAAGCGCAGAGAGGGCAGGTCCTTGCTCAGGGACGGAATGGAACCAGAACTCAGATCCTTGGCCCCCCAGGACCTGAAGCCAGGGCTCTGTGCTTCCCCGGGCTGGAGGCAGCTAAGCCTTCCCAGTGGCCAAAGGCATTTCCTTTCACAAACGTGTTTCTTACAGCTCCTCCTTCCTGTGACCTCAGAGTTGAAGGGGCCTGCTTGCCTCATGTCCAACCCTCAGGATACTTCCAGAATCCTTTCTGATGCCCTCAGGGAGCCCACTTCCCTCCTAGGGCAGCTGGCTCCATCGGGAAACACCACTCCCCGTTCTGCAGTTCCTTGTCACAGATCTGCCCGCTCCCAGCTCTTGGGGGTGGGGCCGGCCAGGCTGCAGAGACTCCTTCAGAACCTCCAGAAGTGCTGCTTCTGGTCTCCTGACATTCAGGTGACTTTCTCTGGACACACTCCATTTGTCTTGCTCCTCACTTGGACGGGCCCCCAGAGCTAATCTGACACCCAGAAGGCGTCTGAACAACACAGTATGCCCCCTGCTATGCTTGTGGTTGTTCAAGACTTTCTTTACCCAGAGCTGTTGCTACTCAGAGCTAATACAGTGGATTTTTTTTCAACTCCTCTCCTCTCAGCATCTGCCTATGTTCCTCCATTTTGTCATGGAGGCTGGTCCCAGGATTACCAACTGCTGCAAGGGATAAAGGGAGGCCAGGAGGTCATCTGGTTCTGGTCCCCTCATCTTCCCCTCTCTCCCTACCTTCTGGCAAGGTCCTAGGGGGTGGTCAGGGAGCCCAGGACCGATGTTCTCAGAGCATCTCCTGAGCTTTAGAATCATAGGTCAATTCCACAAGCCAAGGAAAGGTGCCATGCCCCTGTGCCCACCAGGCCCATGCACTGCCACTTTACCCAAGCCAAGCAGAGCTGAGCTGAGCCAGCCATGGCCATGCATACAGCTGGTCCGAGGTGCCCACCCCAGGCCATGCACAGATAAGGAGTGTCCCCACCTCCAGCCTGAGCCATGCTTAGGGAATGTCCCCTTTACCCCTGGGCCGCCTCCTGTTTCCCAGGAATGTTGGCAGAACTGAAAGAACAAGACCATAGCAACCTGATGACTGGAGGACCTGGGGATGACTCAGCCAGGTCCAGCCCTAGCGGTGGGCTGAGCCACAGTAGCTTTGGAGGTCTGGGGGGGCGCCACCTCCAGGAAGCTTTCTGTCCTCCAAGCCCTCCCTGAATTCTCTACTACTTCTGAGCTCTGTCCCTCCTTTTCTCCTCCCACTCACTCACTGCCTCAATCCCGTATCCACTCACTTCCTTCCTCTCCTTTTGCAGGTGGCAGCAACTCAACAATCTATTTACTGAGCACTTGATGGAGTGGCATGTGTAGGATGGCTCTGAAAGGGAAAAGGGGACAGCTCAAAGTGACTCCGGCTTCTGGACGGAGGCGTGAATCCTCCAGGGGTGAGGAGGACAGGGTCAGGGAAGAGAAAGGATAGCAGGTCTGGACCTGTCTATCCCTGTCAGTCCTTCCCTAGAATGCCTGAAGGGAAACTCAGGTCTTTCCTAATTCTATATAATCCAAATGGAGGTGATTTTTCTGGGGACCTGGGAGAGACGGGGGGTAAAGTGCCCCAGAGAGGCCTGAGCAGCATTTGAGGCTTCCTTCCATGGAAGGAAGGAGCAGGATCACTTTCTCCAGCCTGTGCACATCTGCATGCATACACCTGCACACACACACTGCATGCACACACCTGCACACACACACTGCATGCACACATCTGCATGCACGCACACACCAGCTTATGTGCACAGAGACACAGACAGGCCCACGGACTCCACGGAAACATTCACGCAGACCACATGCAGAGAGGCACAAATGCAATTCCCCTGCCTTAGTCACAGACGTGGATATAGACACTGGCCTCTCACTGACACGGGAACAGGAAGGACACACACAGACACAAACACATGCGTACATACTTCTCTTTGGTGTGTCGTGCAAAGGTGAGAGAGAAGAGAGAGTTTAGTAGGTTAGTAGGCCCTGGCTGACTCCAAATCTGGGTGCGTGAAGAGGCTAAGCTCAGTGGCTCCTGTTTCCCTGTCCCCCTTCCATATACGTTCCTTCTTCTGGGGCTTCTCTGGGCAGGGCCTGGGGGCAGGGAGCATCAGCCTCCTGCCTGCTCAGGTGTTGGCTAAATGACCTCCACGCAGCTCCACTTCCTTTCATGATTAGTTTTTTTTTCTTTTGAATCTTTGAAAGGGGAGGAAATATGCTATTCCTGGGAAGCTCCAGAGAATGAAGCTCCTCTCGGTACCAGGATGGGAGGTGCTGGAGACAACAGTCTGCCAGGAGGTGGATGAGAGAGAGGCCGACATAGGCTCTGTCCTCTCTGGCTAAATCTTCCTCTAGCCCTGACCTTCTGGGAGCAGTAATGAAATGACCCACTGAGTCCTAAAGTCCATACTGGGTGTCCTGCGGATTCTCTGGAATGCCCACCCCACTTACAGCCTCTGTTCTTTCTAGCCTGGCAGCACCAGCTCTAGCCGTCAGGGCAGCTGCTTCATTCTGTTTCTCTCTCTAGAGCAGTCTACAGTCTGGTCTCAGCAAGCCTGAGCTCCTGGGGGCTAAGGATGGTGCCACCTCCTGCTGCTGGGTCCCGCCCGCTCTGGCCCTGGGGTGTGCCTCACTTGGCTGCCTGCCTGCTGTTCCCCATCTCTCTGTGCAGGGCCTCCTCAGAGGCCAGGACCCTGGCTAGGTTAGCAGGGCAGCAATACCAAGGAAGCAAGAAAGTTCCAGAGAACACACACTCAGAGGTCTGAAAATGAAGGGAATGAGGAGCAGAGGCCAAGTTTGTGAGAGGAAGTGTCATTTCTCAGCATGGGGCTGGAAAGGAAAGGCCTTTAGAACTTCACAGAGATGCAGAACAAGAGGCCTCAGGGGCAAAGGCCCCATCTAAAGCCACAGGTCAGGTCAGGTCAGCTCAGGAGTCCAGAGAGAGGGTCAGAGTAGAAAGTGTCAGAACAGAGGGGCACTTGGGGGCCTTGAGCCCGGATGCTGGGACAGGGCATGACAGGAAGTTTAGCCAGCGGTTGAGCAGACAGGTACCGTACCACACTCTTTCAGGAGCTCATCTGACCAGTCCCGGCAGTCCTTCTGAGCGTCACACACTTTGCCGCCGTCCACGCACTCGCCACTCTTACACTGAAATTTGCGGGGACCCTCACAAGTTGACTCTGTTGGGCCGGACAGACAGTGGACAGTGCCTGTGAGGCCTTGGATGGGAAGGGCTGGGCTGGGCCACGGCCCACAGGATGTGAGCAGAGTTTCTGCACTAGCCTTCACAGGTCCCTAGAGGGTGGCCCAGGACTGACAGCCAAATCCAGGGCTGTGGAAGCTCTGCTCACAGGATGAGATCCAGGCCTCACCTAGCTGGGCCATGGGCGGTCTGACCCTGATCTGGCAGTAGTAATGCCCTGGGAGGGACCTTGGAGGTTGGACTGACCATCTCCTGAGGGAGGACTTTTGCCTCATGGATCCTAAATACGGGAGGCTGCCTCACTGCTCAACCTGCTATCCATTCCCTCAGATGACCAGTGATTTGAATCCTTGCTCCTGCAGAGAGCACGTGGTAACCACAAGAGCCATCTGAGAATTAAAGGGGCTCTTTAGGGAATAGGACTCAGACTCTGCTCCAGTTGGGAATTAGTGAGAAAAGCCACTCAGAGGGCTGGACGCCTGTAGTTCAGTGGTTAGGGCGCTGGCCACATGCTCTGGGGCTGGTGGGTTCGAACCTGGCCCAGGCCTGCTAAAAAAAATAAATAAATAGCTGGGTGTTGTGGCAGAAGCCTATAGTCTCAGCTACAAGGGAGGCTGAGGCAAGAAGCCACTCAGAGGCTTGCACCTGAACAAACAGTGGGGGACTGGACTTCTTACAGTGCCCTTTCCTGTCCCCCTAGGCCTCGTTCAGCTTTGCAAAGTCCTTAAACATCTAGTTCTGGTGTCAGTAGGACCCCATAGAAGGGGAGCCAGGTGATTTAGGGGCTTATGGTGCTCTGAAGGAAAATGCATTTCAGGGACCAAGGGGAGACTTCACCCAACTCTATTCTCTCCAGAGGCAGGAGAGCACTCAGAGCTTTCCCTCACGGAGGACGCTGCCCCTGTGCTCTGACCACACGCACCCTGTAGGCAGCCAGCTTCATCACTCCCGTCTGGACAGTCCTGTTCCTGGTTGCAGCGCTTGATTGCAAGGACACAAGTCCCATCCCCACACTGGAACTCATCCCCATGGCAGGTACCCAGTGCTGCCGGGAGAGGGCAAGGGAAGAGGGTCAGGGTCAATGCGGTAGAGCACAGCTCTCCTCCTCCCCTTCCCCCTACCCCTACGCCATATTCAGAACCAATGGCTGAGCTTAGGAGACCTGGCCAAAGTACCTCCAGAGTACAGATGGGAGACTGAAGCTCAGAGAGGGAGAAGGCCTTGCCCAGGGTCACACAGCACTCTGCCTGACAGAGATAAGACTAAACCCAGGTCTCCTTTTCCCCTCTCTATGGCTTCTTGTCCAGCTCACTCCTCCAGAACAGACACATGGCCTTCTTTGGAGTCTTAGTGCTTGTTACAATGACTTCATCCACTCAGCAAACCCCTCCTGAGCCAGGCACTGTGCTGGGGCTTGGGGATAGGGAATCCAGAGACCACTAAGGGCAGCCTCATCTTAGGAGCTCAGAGTGCAAAGGGGGACTGGGGAATACACAGAGGGGGACATCACAGTGTGAGACATGGTGTAAGAGAGGGCAGCTCAGCGACGTTTGGGAACCGGGCAGAGGGGCCCAACCCAGCTGGGAAGGTCAGAGGAACCCGGGCCAGGCCTGGAAAGATGAGCAGGTGCAGCTGGTGGGGAACTGGGGAGGAATTCCCAAGTGTAGGGGCGCGGGCAGAGGAACCAGGGGTGACTGCCCGCAACAGGGAAGAATGGCCGGGAGGGCGTCATGGCAGAGACACAGGTACCAGTGGAGAGGTGTGGTTTCTGGAGTTAGACCTGATCTAGCATTTGTCAGCCACGTGATCTCAAATGAGTCACTTCACGTCTCCCTACCTCGTCTCCTCCGCAGTCAATCAGGGTAATACATTCAGGGCAAGGTGAGGAAAGGAAGCCTGCACCTGGCCGTCAGGTAGCCGGACCTGCAATCCCTGGAAGGGACTGGGCGATATGGAGGGGGCTTACGGCAGTCGGCCTCGTCCGACTTGTCCTTGCAGTCGCGGTCGCCGTCGCAGCGCCAGCCCAGGTGCACGCACTCGCCGCTGCGGCAGGCGAACTGGGCGGCGGCGGCGCAGGCCGCAGGCGCGGACGTGGCCCCTGGGCCGGCGCGGCCACAGAGCTCGGCCGCCTCGTCCGAGCGGTCCTCGCAGTCGAACTGGCGGTCGCAGACCCAGCGCTCCGGGATGCAGGCGCCCGCGTCGCCGCCGCAGCGGAACTCTCGGGGCCCGCAGGCCGGGTCGGCACAGCCGCGCTCGTCGCTGCCGTCGCCACAGTCGTCGTCGCCGTCGCACACGAACACGGCGGCCAGGCACGAGCGGTTGCTGCACTGGAACTCGTGCGGGGCGCACACTGCGCGGGACAGAGAGCCGGTCGGCCCGCCGGCCTCCCAGCCTCTGCCAACCTGGGGCCCCGTGGTCCTGCTTGCGGGAGCTCAGACCCTCACTATGGGCCAGGACCAGTCCCTCTGGGGGGCTTGAAAGGTGGGCGCGCAGGCCGGCACAGTAAAGGGGGCCCCAGCACCGCATGCTGGGGAAGACTGGCCCTGCCTGGGCCTCCCTGGGAAATGAGAATTCCTGGCCTGCTGCGGCCGCACCTTGGGCGCGGAGGGGACTGTAAAGCAACGGAGTGCTGCCTGTGTTGACCGACCTGTCATGTTCCCAAGAAATGTTCTTTAACAGGACACTGACCCTTCCCAGGGCACAGGGTCTGGGGTTGTCTCCTTATAGCATAGCTGTACACAGCATAACCTGCACTGCTCGGCCTACGGCCCCTGGCCTGGGGTGTCACTGACTATGTCACCTCACTCGGGAACATACCCAGGCCAAAGCCACACTAGGCCATTTGCTGGGCCCAGGATGCAGGTCCCCCCTCTGGGCCCATGCACAAGGCGCCCCACCTGCTGGAAACCCCCTCCACGCACACCACCACCTTTACAGTCTGCAGGGACCCAAATTCAGCCTCCTCCATAACATACTTAGTGCTCCCTTGCTTAGGAAATCTCCCTCTGTCCTCTCTATCTGCGCTTCACAGCCTGCTCAGGTGTCCACGCTTCATATCCTTCTCCATCTGTCCCATGACCACAACGGTCTTGGGACAACCCTCCTTTGTCCTGAGGGTCTGGCACAGAGCTCCCTGCAGTGAATGGGTATGGAGTGGACGGTACTGGACTGGTCCAGCTGTGAGGTGTAATCATGGGATGCGCAGTGATTAAGGGTATAGGTCCCTGGATGGAGTTGAAACACATTCTTCTTAGTAAAGTATCACAAGAATGGAGGAGCAAGAATCCAAGGTACTTAATACTAATATGAAGCCAGTAGACGATCTAAGAAAAGCTCAATTCAAGTTGGGGGCCAGGGGAATAAGGGGGGAGGGGGAGGGGAGGAAGGAAGAGAATGGCTGTGTTCCCACTTAATGGGCACAATGTTAGGGGACCCCTCTTGGAGGCCCTGACACAATTATAAGGGGGACTTCACCTAAAAAATGCAAACCCTGTAACCTAATTCTTTGAACCCTCAAATTAATCTGAAATAATTAAAAGAAAAAAAGGGTATAGGTCTTGGCCCTGCTTGGGCCGTTAGGCTTCTCCCTGATAGGCTGGTTTGAGCCCAGAGGCAGACAGCACCTTAGAGAGCAGCCAACCCAACTGCCAGTTTACAGATGGGAAAACTGAGGCCCAGAGAGGGGAGCAACATGCCCAGGGTCACACTGTTGATGGAGATAAGAGAATCAGAACTGGGTTTGGGGTATTTCCTTCTTACTCTGACTCCTCCTCTCAGTATTACGGTTTTTTCCTCCCTTCCTGGAGTGTAAGTTCCTTTCAGGGCAGCGACCTCCTCACCCCCTTCCCTCCTTTGTGTCCTCACATACAGGCCAAAAACAGGCCTGGGGGCCAGGTAGGCACGGGTGCTGTGGCTGTGGCCACAGGTAACAAGCAGGTGGCAGCACCTTCTCTTTCCACCTGGGGGAGCCCATAGTCTGTGTTTCTATTTTCTGATGGAAAAATGTCAGTTCTCATTGTTAGTAGACATAAAATAGAGTGATGTCTTCAGTTTTATAACACAGGGAGTACACATCATGTATTTCTGACAGCTGTGCCACGTTTCTGATGGTGTCGGTTCCCCTTCTGGGCCTCTGTCGCTCCTCAGAGTATGCTACTGGCTTAGAGCAGCCCCTCCTGCCTGTGCAGAGCCGGCTCCTATGTGTCCAGCAGGGAGGACCCGCTGTGTTCTGACCGCTCTGAGAGAAAGTGCTTAACACAGAGTTTTCTCTGGGGTTTTAAAGCTGACAATAACTTTAAGATCCACCTTCTCAGGCCAGCCTAGGCCCAGAGACTCTGTCCCCAGCACTTGCAAATGGGAGAAGCTCTGAGAGATGGGAAGGGAGGAGTCTCATTTCTCTGCCCAGGCGGGTGGGAGCTGCAGCAGAAAAGCTTAACATGATCTCCTAATATCTCTGATCCCCGTAATTAAGGGGAAATGTTCCTGTCCCACCATGCCCTAGTTAGAGATGCACCCGCCCCTTGCAGTAGTAGGCTTCATATTGGAGGAATCCTCTGACCTGGGGGGCAGCAGAGAAAGGAGGGAACAGGACTCTCCTTGGCCGATGAGTCTCAGTTAAATTACTGCAGCCGAAGAAAGATGCCAACGCCATCACTGGGGCTTTGATGCTCGTCTCAGCCAGCATCTCCCCCCACCCCCAAATGCTTCCTGCTTCAGATACATCCAAACTCCAGACTTAGAATCTTGGAGTGCTATGACTCAGAAGCCCCTGGAGGAGATGGCAATTCCCCCGGGCCAGGAAGGATGGATAGGATGCAAATATAGACGCTGGTGGATGGGAGTGGGGGTGAGCAGCAGTGAGATGGCAAGTGCCTGGCAAAAACCCTCCTGAGTGACCGCCCATATCTCAGCCCAGCCTCATGGCCTGCTAGTGACAGCCAGTCTGTCTGCCCTGTTGATCATGCATACCCAGAGGGAAGACTATATAGAATTCACCTTGTTAGCCCTTTCAGAACCTGGCTCCAGGCCTGGCACACAGTAGGTACCCATCGAATTGAAACAAGTGAGGTGGGGTCATGCTCCTCACTGGCCCAGGCCCTGCTGGCCCACTCTCTGGGAAGGAAATAATCCTGTGTTTGAAGCTCAGTGATGTGGAACTGTCCCAGTGACCACTTCCATCTGTCCCTGCCGAGGTTGCTAAGCATGTCTTCCCCACCCTGTGACAACTGGGCTTGAATCTGAGATTTCAGCCACAGTCGTCTATCACACGTCAGGAATCTGTCTGTCCCCCAGCACTGCCAGTGCCCTGGCTCAGGTCGCTACGATTTCTCAATTCAGCCCCCTCCCTAGTTCCCCCTCCCTTGCTCGGAGATAGGTAGCTTTGTGGGATGAATGAGCAGATGTCAGGCGTAGAAAAAGCTCCCGGGCTTTGCTGTCCAGACCTGGATTTGAATCTCAGTTGCATCACTCAGCCTTGGGCACTTGTCCTCCCTTATCTGAGCCTCAGTTTCCTCATCTATGACATGGTGATGATAATGGCTCCTCATGAGTTGGTTGTGAGGATGAAGAAAAAAAATGTCTCCAAAGCGACTGGCCATCGCTCATATCCCTGTCATTATCCTTTCCTCCCTGGCTACCGAGCTTCTCAGAGAACTAGACCCTTCCCCAGAAGTGGCTGCCACCCTCTGAGGCTTGGCAGACGCTGGGGCTCTGACCCCGGACTCACAGGTAGCGCAGCCGGCCTCATCCGCTCCGCCCTCACAGTCCTTCTCCCCGTCGCAGCGCCATGAGGCAGGCACACACTTGTGGCTGGTGGGTCCACAACTCAGCTTCTCTGCAGGACACACCTGCTTGGCTGTGGAAACAGACATCCATGCACCGCTTAGCCAAGGGACACACACGGCATGGTGCCAACCAGTCCTACCACCCGGTTCCATCCTGCCGGCCTGAGGGCCTAGGAGGCCATCAGGGCCCTCTCCCTTCATGTCTCAGTTCCTTCATTTTGAGAAGCCCAACTCTTCCCTAGGACTTTCCAAATTCTAAATATGACTCCTGATCAACAGTCTTTCATGGCTCCCTGGTCCCTGGCACTCAAATCCCTCCTGGACCCACTGACTCCTGCCTGTCTCACCTGGCTGCACCTCCCTCCCCTCCAAACCTCCTCTGAAAGCTCCAGCATTGTGGAGCCACCATGCCCTGCTAGCTGAAGACTTTGCCATTTCCCAGCTGTGTGTGCCTTTGTGAGAGAGATTCTGGGCCTCAGTTTGATTCCCAGATCAGTGACCTGGTGATCTGAACCTGTAAATTTAGAGGGCTCCCTGAGGCTCCAGCAGCTCCAGCCCACACCCCTCCAACCCCATCCCCCAGTGATGGTGCTGGGCTCGCTGCTGAGAGCAGCCACTGCATGGCAGGGCCCAGCGGGACTGCACAGCTATAATTACTGCAGCCTCAATCAGAGGCTGACTCAGTCAGGGGCCTGATGCCCCAGGGTTGATTCTCAATTTGGAAGAATGAGAACCCTACTCAGAGTTAGGGACAGATGCATCTCAGACCTCCATGGATGGCTTCCTGCTGCCTTCCAAGGCCTGCGGGAGGCCCAATCTCAGTGGTCTCTATGATGAGCCAGGCATGGCGCTAGACACTGTCATTTAATTTTCACAATAACCCAGCAGGGTGAGAAGATTATGCCCTGGCCTCCCAGCTTGGAGGTTGAGGACACGGGCTCTGGAGCCTGACTAACTGAGTTCAAGTCCTAGCTCCATCACTCACTGGCCATGTGACCTTGACCAACAAGTCTCACCTCTGTGCCAGTAAAGTGGGGATAATACCATTATTTGTCTCAAAGGATTTTTATGACAACTAAGTTAATGTCTATAAAACAGCGAGAACAGATAACCCAGGTCTTGCTAAATGTTACCTGTTATTATTATTCACAAATAACAGGTGAGGGCACTGAGTCTTGTTTGTTCATTCCATGAGTATTTGCGCCTGTGTGTACCAACATGGTGGTGAGCATTGAGTTCTAGTTACACAGCTGGTAAAGAACAGTGTAGGGACTCAAAGTCAGCTGTGTTTGATGCCAGAGATGGCATAGGCCATGTCACCCTTGGAGGCAGGGGGCCACTTGTGCTCCACCCCTAATTTTATTTTCTGATCGCAAAACAACTCCCCCCCCTCCTACTTCTATAGCTGGGATAAAAGACCACAGGGATGGAGCAAAGGGCACAGATAAATTGGGGAGAGGGCTGGTGCCTAAGTTAAGAAACAACTACTGCTAGGGGAGTATCTTAGGCCCCCCCACCCCACCAAGTGAAGTCCCCAAAGTTATTCCTAGGAATACATTTCACATACATAGGAATCTCTTGGATTCCCAGGGGATCCAAGATTCACCGGCCCTCTCCCCAACTTACCTGTGCCCTTTGCTCCATCCCTGTGGTCTTTCATCCCAGGTATAGAAGTAAGAGAGGGGAAAATTGTTCTGAGATCAGAAAATAAAATTGGGGGTGAAGTGCAAGTGGTCCACTGCCTCCAAGGGTGACATGGCCTATGCCATCTCTGGCATCAAACACAGATGACAGGATTCATAGGATTCATTTCTAGACATTTCCCTTTGCAAATAACTATCAGGTCGAGAGGTAGAGCTCTGGAAAGTGCTGATACTCAACACACCTTTTATTAGAGACAGAGTCTCACTCTGTCACCCAGGCTGGACTGCAGTGGCATGATCATAGCTCATGGTAACCTCTAACTCCTGGGCTCAGGAAATCTTCCCACCTTAGCCTCTGGAGAATCTAGGACTACAGGTGCATACCACCCAGGCCTGGGTCATTTTTACTATTTTTGTAGAAATGGGGTCTTCCTATGTTGCCCAGGCTAGCCTCAAACTTCTGGTCTCAAGTGATTCTCCCACTTCAGCCTCCCAAAGTGCTGGTATTATAGGCATGAGCCACTGTGTCTGGCCTTAGAGACCTTTGAAAAACACCACCTCTGGGTTATCATGTGGGGTGGTGAAGGGAGACTAGGACTGGGAGATGAGGCCCTTGCAGGGCACCTCTGTCACCAACACAGTGCAGGACCTCAGGTAAGTGCTTTCCTCCAGGCCCCATAAGGAGACAGGGAGCTGACACCAGCTCCAGGATGGTAAGGACACATGGCACCTTCTTGCTTTATCCTCACAATGTTGAAAGAGAAGGAATCCCTCTGGCCTTTTATAAGAGGCACTAATTACCGTTACCAGTATTTCCCAGAGGGTCCTCTGATGAAGGGGGTGAAGGAACTATTAGAAGTGCAGGTTCCTGGGCCCCTGCTCATGTCAACTGAGCTCAGACTTTGAGGCCAGAGCCCAGGAATCTGCATAATAGTAACTCCCTACCCAAACCCAGGTGATTGCCATGCTCCTCTGTATGAGAACTCGAGTCAACATTGACCATCATAAAAGAGGTGGTCCACATGTTTGCATGCCCCTGAGAGAGCAATGGGATGGAAGGGCAAGGTGATCATTTATGCCTAGGGCAGGCCTCAGAAGACAGCACCTCCCAGGGGAGTTTACCGAGCACCTACTGTGGGTTATTCTGCTCCATGCCAAGTATTTTAAAATTTCCCATTTCACTCTGCCTGGTCTGAACGTTGGTATCCCCTCAAAATTTATGTTGGAACTTAATCCCCAATGTGATAGTTTTAAGAGTTGGGGTCTGAGGAGGTGATTAAGACATGAGGGTGGAGCCCTCAAGAATATGATTAGTGCCCTTATGAAAGGCCAGAGGGATTCCTTCCCCTTCAACACTGTGAGGATAAAGCAAGAAGGTGCCATCTATAAGGAACTGGCCCTCATTGCATCTGCTGGTGCCTTGATCTTGGACTTCCCCGTCTCTAGACCTGTGAGTAATAAATTTCTGTTGTTTATAAATTGCTCAATTGAAAGTATTTTGTAATATCAGCCAGAAGGACTAAAATACTCCCTCACCCTCACCCGGACAGGTAAGCAGGCCTGCCAGCTGTAAGTGCAAATTCCAGAGGCACCATTCACAAAGAGTATCGTGTCTGTTAGCCCCTGGAGTGGAGGGGGACAGTAGTCTGGCAGGTAAGCATTCTATTTTACAGATGAGGAAACTGAGGCTTAGAGAAACCAAGTACTGGCCCAAACATAGACAACAGGTAAGAGACAGAGTCTGGGTTCCTGTAATTAGAACCCTCCCCTTTCTATCAAACCCCACACCCCAGAACCAGCCCAAAGTCTCCTCCTGAAAGCCCAGGTGACTGAAATGGCCCTTGGCTATAGGCACCACCTTAAAAGCCTGGTTTTGCAGACCCCAGTGCAGCAGGCAGCCGCTTGAACTTTTAATGAATATTTATACAGTTAATTGCATAACCTTTCAGCAAGGACAATGATTAAACAATCTGTCTGCTTCCTTTCTTTATAATTAATAAGACATTTGCTGTGTCCCTAAATAGACAGCTCTAATTACAGGCCCTCGAGGATTCAGCAGTGTCTGATAACAGCCCCCACACCCAAAGAGCCAAGGCTCGTGGAATGCCAGGGCATGAGAGGCCTCAGAGGTCACATGGATGAGCATCCCTTGCAGTGTCGGGAGACTGAGTGAGACCCAGAGAGGGGAAGGGACCTGCCTAGGGTCATGTGTGGCTACTGGATGCTGAGTGTTCTGACTCCTAGCACCCCTAGAACCTCACTGTCTCTCTTGTCCTGTGGCTCTTCACCGAAGCTAGCACTTGAGTCTGGCTCTCAGGGTTCCCAGGTCAGCCCTCTCAACTGCACAGCCCTGGGAAGTGGATCTGGTTAAATACTGATGCTCAGCATCTCCCTGTGAGGTGGGTGATATTTTTACCTACTGATTACCTCCATTTTATGGGTGAAGAGGGCAAAGCCCAGAGAAAGTTGTTCAAAGTCTTCTGGTGAGAGCTGGACTTCTATCCCAGGTCCAAACCCACAGCTTATATTACTGCACCTAACCAATGCCCACAAGCAAGGTAGATCCTTTTTCTTCATGGAATCTCTAGGCTGGAAAAGGGTCACTGGAGGGAAGGGGCTCACTGAGACTTTGCTATCTATAAGATACTCATCTGATATCCATTTGGAGCCAAAAGCCCCGAGGCAGCTTGACATAGGACAAAGGGCATCGGTCAGACAGACCTGGGTTCAAATTTCACTTAATAACACTGAGTCCTCAACCAAGTCACTTAACCCCTCTGCATCCTGGCACCCCTCATCTGAGAAGGGGATCAGAAAACACCTGTGTTTGTTTTATTCATGAATGGCTGGCTGGTGGAGGGGGCCAGTTGCACTACTGGGGAATGCACGCTGGGTGTCAACATGGTCCGCCATGCTACAGCCCTTCTCAGAGAACCTCGCCCTTCATGACAGATGCTGTTCAAGTGGCCCAGGTTCTGAGAGGCAGAAGCGAAGAACCTCACTGTCTGTCAGACAGCAGGATTCCTCCAAGGTTGGCAAGGGGGCTTAAAACTCCATCCTGGAGTAGCAGAAGGCACTTATAAATTCCCAGAGAATTCTGCCCCAGAAATTCAAATAAATCCATCGGTACTGCTCCCTACTGATAAGTTCACAAATTAACAAAAGGGGAAATGTCTGTTGAATAAAAGAATGAAAGTACTTGGTGGCTGCTTGTGGATTGAGCAGTGTCAACACAAGTGAATTTTAGAGGCAGACAACCTCCAAATGGGGACTGCTAGTTCCAAGATACCCGAGACTCAGTGGTGGGAACTACCCATGTCTCTCTCTTTTATTTTTTTTCTTTTCAAGACAGAGTCTCACTATGTCACCCTTGGTAGAGCACCTTGGCATCATAGCTCATAGCAACCTCAAACTCTTGGGCTTAAGCGATTCTCTTGCCTCAACCTCCCAAGTAGCTGGGACTACAGGCACCCGCCACAATGCCCGGGTATTTTTTTAGAGACGGGGTCTTGCTCTTGCTCAGGCTGGTCTCCAACCTGTAAGCTCAGGGCAAACTACCCACCTTGGCCTCCCAGAGTGCTAGGATTATAGGCGTGAGCCACCATGCCTGGCCTATACTCACTCTAACTCTGTGCAGAGGTGGGTATATCAAGCTCCTTTATACAAGGCCAGGCCAAAAATGCTTCTGGCTGGGGCAATTCCTTACTTACTGGGTGATATCAGAAACATCTCTGGGCCTCCATTTCCTGACCTATAATAGGTGAGCCTGCTGAATCAGAAAGGTCCCCCTCACAAGTGGAAAGGTTCCAAAATGCATGAAAAAAAAAAAAAAAACCTCCATATCCACATCAGTAGCACCCAGAACTGTAATTCACCTTGAACCATCCTCTCCCTCCCTTCAGATGTCTGAAGGTGGGTCAGAAGCCATTCCCAATCAAGTGAGCTATAATTAGAAATGCTACTTTCATTAGGCAAATGTTCTGGGCTTTTCCATCGTGATTCCTGGCTATATTTGATAGGTACAGAACCCAGAGAGAATCAGAGCTGGGAGAAACCCCAGCCAGCTAGGGACAGACCATGGGGTGGGAACACAAGAATTCAGACCTGCTCTTATATCCCTTTCCCTCTGAATGCAACCCTTTTTGTCTATACTATTACTTAAACGATACCATTTTACAGATGAATAAATTGAGGCTCAGGAAGATCACTTGCCTGAGGTCTCATAGGTTACAGGAAGTGAACCCAACTCTATTGGACACCAAACTCACCAGGCTTTACTTACTGTCTATAATCTTTCCTTTACGGTTGGGGAGTGGGACTCTTTCCTGGGAGCTGGCACAGCTCCAGGAACCTGGTAGGCTATGTTAGTTGCTATGGCAATGCCAATTAAATGGACAGCAGGTTGGCTGCTGGATTCTCATTCAGTGAGCAAGCCTGCCACCAGGTCCTGCTGCCCTAAATTCTGCCTGACCCCTGAGGTCCCACTCTGGCCAACCTCCTCCAGGCAGCCTCCTCCCTTCCTATAGGCCTTGCCTCCCTCTGACTGATATAATTGCACAGATAGTGGGGATCCTGGCTGTAGCAGCCCAGCTGGGCACAGGCAAGGTAGAAAGAAGGTGCCAGAATACAGAGTTCAGGAATCTGGAAATTGTGAATTCTTTGGAATTATGGAATGGTAGAGATCAGGGCCTAGCGGGATGGGAAGGCATGCAGGACCTCACAGCACAGAGGGGAAGACCACAGCAGAGCTGGGCCTTCAGTGTCCTCAACTGCTGTTCCCACCAGGGCCTAGTCAAACCTCAGGGAGCATGAAAAGCCTAACCTTTGTCATGAAAGGGAGAGTTACGTGTCTTTTTTTTTTTTTTTTT